CCAGCTCCTTTTATATTTTATTTTGAGAGAGGGTCTCGCTAAGTTTCTAAGGCTGGCCTTGAATTTGTAATCCTCCTGCCTCAGCCTTCCAAATCATTGGGATTCCAGGCACATGTCACCGAACCTGGCCTCTTTTTCTTTTTTAAGTGTTCTTTTTCCCATTGTTAGGGTATGTTTAAACTTAGTACAATTGAGATCTTATTTTTTTTTTCTCACCACAAAATTAACATTTTGTTTGCTAGATGGCTTTGAAATGTGCTGATATCTGTAACCCTTGTCGGACCTGGGAATTAAGCAAACAATGGAGTGAAAAAGTAACAGAAGAATTCTTCCACCAAGGCAAGTTATAGTATTGACTAATAAATTATTCAGTTCATGTTTTAGCATTGCATGAATAAAATAAGAACTCAGCATTTATAAGAGCCTCTTGATATTTTTAACAATAATTCATAGATGTGCATACAGCCAGTATAATGTGCACATAGTGCAAATTGAGCATCTGTTTTGAAAATTAGTAGTCTTCTTTTGGAATTATCATATATACATATACTTATGCATTTATGAATATACATAGTGTAGGCTGGAAATTTTATTGTACAGAAAGATTTCTCTGAATTTGCTTCATCCCTTATTGTATGTGGAAGACATGTCCGTGTAAACATGTAAGACTTTTTTTGTTGTTGAATGTGATTCAAAGTCAGAGCCCAGGGGTCTCCATTTTATGCTGTACCCTTTTAAAAACTAAGTTTTAAACTAAAATGCTGACAGAATTATAGTCTTGAGGGTACATTAGTAAAGGTTTTCTACTTCTTTCATTTAAACATCAACCCAGCAATCTTTTCTATGTATGAATAACTTAAAGTTTAAAACATAATCAAGCTGTCTCCCCCCTGGAGATGGCCTGCATTATCCCTTTAATGTGCCTTTTCTTTCCTAAATAAACCTCTGTCTAAAAGAAAAGAAAAAAAAGAAAAGGAAACTAATTGAGAAGTTGTCCTCATGAGGGTTAAATATATTTTTCTAAGGTACTTATAGGAATGATGCAGACCTTAATTATATATTTAGCCAATAGATGTGTTCCATCTTAATAATTCCTTTTTTAATTTTTAGGAGATATAGAAAAAAAGTATCATTTGAGTGTGAGTCCACTTTGTGATCGTCAGACTGAATCTATTGCCAACATCCAGATTGGTAACTATATACATTTAAATATAGCTGGTTTGAAAAAAATGTCATTTTAATTTTGTCAAGAAGAGAAATTATTCAAAATATACAATCTATATTGAAATTGTGCTCATTTCTAGTTTTTAAAATAATTTAAGAAATCTTATTCTTGTTTTCTCTTGTTAGGACTCTTTCACCCTCTGTGCCCTTCCATTCTTTGTTGTCTGCATCCCATGACTGCTTTTTCTTGAAGACCCATCTCACATGATGCCTCCTCCAGCATGTGCTTTTCACTCTGCAGGCAGTGTTAGGTGGTCCTCTTCCAGGCACCAAGTGCTTACACTATTGCTCACACCTTGCCTTGCCTAGAGTATTCCTAAAGCCTTGCACTGTACCTACACACAGGAGGCTGTGGAGAACTGTTCGTTGAATGAACTACTAACTGTAGTAGAACACAGTGAAATATTCTGTGATTAAAGCATTGTGGCTTGTAGAAGAGCAGAGGAATGATAGCCTGGCATTGAGTGTTTTGGGGTTTGGTTGTAAAGTAGGGAATGGTGGAGACAAGTTGCTCAAGAAGGTTTTGAGGTAAGAATGTAATTTTGGTAGATAGTATTCATTGAGTAGGGCCTTTTGAGCTTTAGGTTGAACTTCAAAAAAAAATAAGGTTTCTAGAAATTGAGAAGGTAGAACAATTCTGTGGCATAATACTGCTAAAGGAGGATCATGCTGTAGAATCAGAAATTAGAAAATGTAATTATTATGTTGTAATTGTAAAGGATTCCCATGTGGAAGAAAATGGGTAGTGAATGGCTTGACTGCAGAGGGACAGGTAGAGAAGCTGTGACAGAGAGTGGTCAGACCTGTAGGAGTGCATAGGGATGCGGAACCTCTGGGAAAGCCCAGACTGGCCTGGAGTGCGGAAGTTAGCAGATGGATAATATAGTTAAGAAATAGATCTGCTCTGTCTTGATTGTCAAATAGGATAATTTTCAAATGCAAAACCATGGATGAAATATGGGCAAAAGGGAATTGAAGATGAGTGAATGAGTAGTAAACTTACTCTAGCTCTTTTAAATAAATGTCTTTTTGCCTGAGGAAATGACTCTCTATTTTAACTCATTTTCCCATTGTTCTAGATGTAGAAAAATGTATAAAAATCTTAAGTATAGTATATAATTATATGACTATGTAATTTTTATTATTAATATAATATATAAGTTGTAGATTATGAGCTCCAACCTATCTTAATGCACCTGGGTCAATTTCATTGAAATACTCACAGAATTAAAAACTTGGGTCTTAATCGGTTAATAGAACTTGCAAGTGAGGTTAAGAAATTCATGATTTTTCTAAGAGTGCAGAAGCTAGACTCCTCAAATTGTTCATCTCGAAGTGCAGGTCTGGTCAGTGTTGGGCACTTCTAGAATGGGTCGTCAGAGGACCAGGGATAAGATAAATGATGTGATGAGGAGAGTGGACATCTGCTGACTCCTCGCAGCCACCCTAGGAGTTGAATACTGCAAGTCCGCCATTTTCAAATAGTTTGCCCACCAATAGTTAACCAGCTGTAGGTGTAGGGCTTCAAATGGGTCTTTGTGATGTCAAATCTTAATAGTGATTACCTGGAGCCTGCTTAGGATTTGTAAGTGTGAGTCATGTGTAACAAATATAATTTTCTTTGATGTTAGTTTTGCTGAGTAGTTCCTGGGTAAGAGTGAGGTGAGATTTGTGAAATCTGTGCAGATAGAGGCAGCTGTGCTTGAAGGGTCCCCGTTGACAGAGTGTACCTCCAAGAGGCAGCTGCATGCCTGTGCCCACAGCCCTGGCCTGGGTATTTTTATCTCAACCTGTTGTAACAACGGCAAGAATCACATAAAATGGGTCGTGTAACACCTACGATAATAAGGTTCTACATTTGGGTACAAGCCCTCAACTGTTGGTGATTTAACCGTAAAGGCCTGACTCAGCAGGACATGGTGGCCAGAGGAAAGCTGCCAAAAGCTGCTCTGTTCTTGGGCTGTATTAATGACATTCTTCTCTGCTATCTCTTTCTCCTCACCAGAACATAAGCTCCTTGAGGGTAGTGATGTTGTGTTCTGTATCCCCAGCCACCCTGGATGGAACAGTAGAATCTCAAGTTAATATTATGTGGAGGGAATGAATCAATAAAAGAAAGTTTATTGCAGATCATCATAATTGTTCAGTTACCATAATTATGTACACTTAAAAAAATATCAACCATAAGACCATATAGGATTTTCCTAATTAAAAATAGTTTGGGATAATTTCTTTAATTTCAGTGAGATCCATCTGTGGTCCACATATTTTACTTCAAGAAAACTCTTAAATGTGAAGACTCAGAAATACTGTGTACTTGTGTGCTCTGTTTATTTCTCACTTTATTAACAGGTCAGAATTTTAGGAAGATAACGTGTATGTTTTGATTTGATTGATAAACTATTTCCTAGGAGGCTTCTTTGGACTAAGTGAGATAGTACTTAGTATGAAATCAGATATGATGTGCAGTAGAGTATTGTATAACCTACAGATACAAACAATTCTGAAATGACTTGTTCTCCTTTTCTATGAATTGAGCTCCATCAATTATACGAGTTATTTATAAAATAGGATCCTGGTGCACTTTTGGTGTTCACTGCAATAATTTTTAAAAGTTAATCTCCCCTGTTATCTTTAAGCTGATTAATTCTTCTTCTGAGTTTTAGTTCTAAAGTTAATTAGACAAATTGTCCAATTATTATCAAGAGAGGTTTCTGTCCCTGAGGGGTAAAGCAGTGAGTTCCCTAGTTCCAGTTCTGGCCTTGGCACCCACCTCCTGGAGGAGACACCCCATCTTGGCCTCCAGTTGTCTCATTGAAACTAAACTTTGAGTTGTGTTGTCCTAGTATCCTCAGAGTCCATGTGGCCAGTGCATGTTTGCATAAGTATTAAGATGTGGTTGTTCAACTGAGAGACATAATCAGGAAAGACTTAATAATGTTTACCAGTTTACCTTTAGGTAAAGTTCCATTGAGTTTTTTAAGGAATAGATTCTTCAGAAAAGATGTGTAAATTATACATGAACACACATATTTAGAATTTTTGAAAAGATTTAGGTAGTATTGGAATAGGACTTAAGAAGGTTAATGTCGTCTAGATCTCTAAATTGCGAGAATTCGTTAATAGCTGTTTTCTCTTATTTTTCAAGGTTTTATGACTTACCTAGTGGAACCGTTATTTACAGAATGGGCCAGGTTTTCAGACACAAGGCTATCCCAGACAATGCTTGGACATGTGGGACTGAATAAGGCCAGCTGGAAGGGGCTGCAGAGAGAGCAGTCTAGCAGCGAGGATGCCGATGCCGCATTTGAGTTGAACTCAAAGTTATTACCTCAGGAAAACCGGTTATCATAACCCCTGAACCAGTGGGACAGACTGCCTCATGGAGGTTTTTAGTAATGTGAAACGGGGTCTTGAGGTGAGAGAACTTACTCTTGACTGCCAAGGTTTCCAAGTGAATGATGCCAGCATTATTTATTTCCAAGATTTCCTAAGTTGGATCATTTGAACCCACTTTTTAATTATAAGACCTGAACATACAGCAATATGCTTTTGGCTTTTGTGTGAAACCTTGAATATGCAAAGCCCAGCAGGAGAACCCGAAAAGAGTAAAAAAAGAAGTTTCTCAGTGTGCCACGCATTTTTCAAAGCATTTATTCTTCAAACATGAAACTTGAACTGAATCTTTCAGCAGCAATCTCTTGGAATTCAACCAGTCTGATGCAACATTGTGTATCTGTACCTTCCACTAAGTTCTCTCTGAGAAAAAGGAAATGTGAAGTGCCCAGCCTCTGCTGCCTCTGGCAAGACTCAGTGTTTACAAATCAACTCTGAAAATATTGGTTCTAAATTGCTTTGGAGCATGATTGTGAAGGAACCACTAAAAAAAAAAAAAAAAAAAAAATTTAAAGATCAAACTTTAGACTGCAGCTCTTCCCCCTGTTTGCCTTTTTTCTTCTTTGGATGCCACCAAAGCCTCCTGTTTGCTGTATTTTATTTCGTGCACTGGAAGCTGAGCATTTATTCCAGTGCATTTATCATAGAGTACTGCCAAGCTTCTACTCCAGTGCTGTTTGGCAATGCAGTTTTTTTTAACTGTTAGTTTTTAATTTGGGGTGGGAGGGGAGGAACGCCAATGTCCTAGCTGTGTTATGATTCTGCAGTGAAGACATTGCATGTTGTTTTCACTACTGTACACTTGACCTGCACATGCAAGAAAAAGGTGGAATGTTTAAAACACCATAATCAGCTCAGGGTATTTGCCAATCTGAAATAAAGTGGGATGGGGAAGTGTGTCCTTCAGATCCAGGGTACTAAAGTCCCTTTCGCTGCAGTGAGTGAGAGGTATGTTGTGTGTGAATGTGTGGATGTATGTTTGCGTGCATGTTTGTGCATGTGTGACCGTGCATGTGTTATGTTCATCCATGTGGGAAAGGATTGGAAATGTAAGCTTTTATTTATTATTTTAGAATGTGACATAATGAGCAGCCACACTTGGGGGAGGGGGATGTAGGTAAGCTGTAACAGATTGCTCCAGTTGCCTTAAACTATGCACAAAGCTAAGTGACCAAACTTCTCGTTTTGATTTGAAAAAAGTGCATTGTTTTCTTGTCCCTCCCTTTGATGAAACGTTACCCTTTGATGGGCCTTTTGATGTGAACAGATGTTTTCTAGGACAAAATTTAAGGACTAATTTTAAACTTAAAACATTCCACTTTTGTAATTTGTTTTAAAATTGTTTTATGTATAGTAAGCACAACTGTAATCTAGTTTTAAGAGAAACCGGTGCTTTCTTTTAGTTCATTTGTATTTCCCTTGTTACTGTAAAAGACTGTTTATTAATTATGTTTACAGTTTGTTGCAACAGCCATTTTCTTGGGAGAAAGCTTGAGTGTAAAGCCATTTGTTAAAGGCTTTGCCATACTCATTTTAATACGTGCCTGTTGCTGTTAACTTTTGATGAATAAAAACCTATCTTTTCACATTTTTATCTTTGAGATTTACCTTATAACTCAATCCTTTGGAAATCACAATGCTAAATTACTAGGAAGCCAGGGTTAGCTGTTTGGCTCTTGGGTTCATTCATCAGATGTTAATTCAGTCAGAGCTATGTGCCAGCACCATCCTATGGGGTTATCTACTATTATCTGCACATTACTAGTGTGCATGCTGAGGCCTGGTTACATAGTTTGCTCAGTCTTGACTAGTAACATGGTAGAGGTCAGCTTTGATCCGGCTCTTGACTCCACAGCCTTTTGTACCCATAGTTAGGAACTGCATAAGACATTACCTCTTGGCCTTTTTAAAGGAAGGTAGTAAGAAATAGCCACTCATATTAATATAAGAATGATACCACTGGGCCTTTCCTACATCTTCCCAGTTCTATGTTCCTTTGTTATAAGGGACATGATGCAAACTTTAAAGTCAAACATATTTGGCATTTGTATTAAAGAGTGATTTGTCCAGTGGAAATATAATGGAAGCCACTTCAGTAATTTTCAATTTTCTAGCAGTCACATTTGGGAAAAAAAATAGATGGAATTAATAACATTTTACTCCATTATATCCAAAATATTTTATTTCAACCTATAGTCAATTTTAAAAACAATGATCTTTTTACACTTTTTTAAAAATCTAGTGTGTATTTTATACTTACTAGCACATCTAAATTCAAATTAGTCACATTTTGAGTACCCAATCCCCACATGTGGCTAGTGGCTAACATATTGAACAGCATGAACAGACCTTTGAGGATAGCAGAATTTTTACCAGGGGAAGGCCAAATGGCCACTCTTATTAGTGGCATCACCTTAGCAAATTTGGTATGTCCAGGGTCTGAAAGGTCCAGAGTAGAAGCTTACAGACATTTGTCTGCACATGGAGAATAGAACTATTTCATGGGAAAATCACATTAACCAAGCTCACAGTAACTGATATTTTTTAAAACTATCAATATTTTAATTCAAAATGAGAAATGTAACTATCAATCATTCTCTCCCTTTAGGCAAATCTTCTTGAGAAGCCAAATTATGAACAGCCGGTTCACTTGGTGAGCATGGATTCTGAGCAAGGGAAGCAAGTTGCCTCATGCCTCCATCTCCTTATGGAGATAGTTCTGCTGATATTCATGTTTGTGGACCAGGGTACCCTCTTCCCCTGGAAGATGCTAGAGATTCTCTGCCAGTAGTTACTTCTCCACATTAGCTTCTGATTGGCAACTCCATTAGATGTCATTGCCTTCAACATTATTTCAGTTGAGCTTACCTAGGCTCCGTTCTACCTGTGTGTGCTTACTTCTGCTCTGATCAATTGTTTGTCTTATAGTTTAATACTCAAAAGATTAGCTTACAGTTTCCATATTCTCAGGGGGACACCTTGGTGTTGCTTCCATTTTCCTATCAGTGTAATAAATCCATTCAAAAGTCATGTTTTGTTATGTATATGTGGGAAACACCTTTTATAGCCCTGCTTTTTAAATGGAGCAATGTTCCTTGAACATTGAATTTTGTAGAAAATTTTGAGGATACAAATATTAAGATCACATTTTTTAAAAATAAGCAAATATGGAACAATGTAAAGTCCACATGAATTTTTAAGATAAAATAGGAGACTTTAAAGAATTGTTAAGCATGTAACAGCCCTTTCAGGCTCTTGGCCTAATACTTCACTGGTGAGGGAATCTATTCTTTATGGATTAAGGTCCTTGGAAAGCAAATCTTGACAAGTTCCAGCTTAACGACAAAAATTGGTTTCTGATCAATATTTGTACTCACTGTAAATGTGATGGTTTGTAATGATCCTCTTTGTATAAATAGTAACAATTACATTTTATGTCCTTTGCAAACATGGGAAATATCCTTGTACCTGGTGTACAGGTTAGAGGTGCTAGTAACTCCTTTAAGATTCCAAAAAGGGTCTCTTTTTTCACAATGCTTTCTTGGCTTTTATTAAGCTTTCTATTTTCTTAAAACTTTAAAATTTTCACATCAGAAGTTTCCAGTGTCTCCAAACATCTATAAATATTTTAATGTATAAACTTTGTTTAAATTCCCTATCAATACCTGCTGATTGAGAAAAGACACAATTTCCAAAAATAACTAATATGAATTAATATTGCTTTTAAGGAAATATGCATACTAGTCCCTACAGCATCAACATACATTTAAAATATAGTAGAATAGACATGTGCAGCCACTTCCTGTCAAGGTCCTAAAGATGACCTGTCATTTCAAAAACCCTGAAGGGTCCATGGTCTAAAGGTAGGGGGCGAATTGACAAAGGGCACATAATGGGTCTCTATCTTCCTGGTTCCTCTGCTTAGCATAGGGCTGGTATAAATTGGACTATCAGTAAATATTTGTTGAACAAATTAATGTTGAATTAATGTTCCCTTTTTACCTATCAGATTATCACTAAGAGAAATATACTGAAACTAGTCTGTTTGTGCTGAAGTCATGTGGTAAGCAATATCTGAGTTCCTGTTGTGTACAGAGCATGGCACTGAATGTAATAAAAGGGGTTTTAAAATTGAAAACCATGGTCTCTGTTCTCGAAGTGTTTGGGTGACAAAATAATGTATGAAGTGTTTATCATGTTTATCTATATCATTCAAAATGAGCAAAGTGTTGGAGTGTTGAGAATGGATGACTAATGGTGAAAATGACATCATTTCTAGTAAATCCTATGTATAGCTGTTAATATCTGAATCATTTGGCTTCCACATTTGGTTCTAAAACAGTTTTAAATATCCAATGTACTTTTAGTAAAATTCTTTTTTATCAATTACATCTTAAAATCTATACTGACACTTTTAAGTTGTCCTGAAACCAATCTTAGTCTGGTGGGTTGGCAGAGGAAGAAAAACAACCCTGTTTTTAGTATTTGATTTCTTGCTGGCTATTATTTAAGACTGAAACAAAGTGACTTAGTCTATTGTAGCTATCCACTGATCCCAGTCTCTATTAAAAGAATTCCATCTTGTATTTATCTTTAAGCTCTGCATCTAAGTTTTTTTAAACATAAAATTTGTATTTCTTCATTTATTGGGCTATATTCTCAAAAAAAAAAAATCAGGAAACAAATGATATCACAAGTCCCTTTGCCTTAGCTGAATTTTATGAAAATTACATATTTGTTTATACACACACAACATAAATTTTGAAGGAAATGCCGTAAAGAAGTGCACTTGTTTTAATTTGCTCAGGTTGCTATCAAAAAGAACCTAAACTGGGTGACTTAAAAACAACTGGTATTCATTTTTCATGGCTTTGGAGGGTGGAAGTCTAAAATCAGGGTGCCAGAATGGTTGGGTTCTGGTGAAGGCCTTCTTCCTGGTTACATCCTCAGATGGCCAAGAGAGGGCTAGCTCCCTCTTCTAAAGACCACCACCAATTCCATCTTGAGATCTTTGCCCTGGGACCTAATTACCTCCAAAGGTTCCACTCCTAATACCATCCTATTTAAAGGTTAGGGTTTCAATACAGGGATGAGGGGAGGAATTCTACACGTGCACTTAATAACTAACCTTAAAGTTCCTAGGTGTAGAGCTTGGGGGTATGTCTCAGTGATAGGGCACTTGCTTAGCATGTGCAAGGCCCTATGATCAATCTCCTGCATCACACACACTATAAAAATTACTAGGTGAACTATTTTAGAAAACAACTGGGATTTCCCCTAAGAATCATCACAAGATGAGGGTTAGGTTTTTCTATTACAGGGCACAGGGACACAGATTAAACGGGAGGAAACTGAGAGCTCTAATCATGAGGATTTATGTGGATGAAAATAATGGAGATCACTCCTAAGACCATGCATTAGGAAACAGAACCTGAGATGTGATCATTCTGAGACAGAGCTGCTTTCTCTCATACTCTTGGCTACCGTTTCTCTTCCAGCTCTCTCTTTTGCAGTCTCTGTTTAAGGTTAGCAGTATAACATGATTTTTAAAAAGCATTATTTCTGTAGCTTATAAGACTTGGGTTTGAGTCCTTTGGTAAGTTACCATATCTTTTGATTTCCTACCCTGTAAAATGTCTTGTTTAAAAGTAAAATCATGTGTTGACACTTTTAGAGTGCTGAATTAATGCTACTATGAATATGCTTCCTAAGTCATTTCCTCAAAATCGTTGCATAAAATTCGTTATAGGTATAGCTGTACCTCATTAGTATCCTTATTTAAGCTCCTGGTACTACCTACCTTGCTCTCTTAAGTTTCTTATTCAGCTTCCTGGGGAAGAATCTAATTAGAATAACCTACTGAGGCTGTGTCCCTGGGCACAGTGTATGCGTTATCAGGTATTCTGCCCTGCAAAAGGGGAAGGACAAGGACCATCAATTTGAATCCCTCCCCCATTAGCTCCCCTGTGCTACTCTACCCCACTTGCTAACACCAGTATTTGAAAATGACTTTCTGACAAAACTCAAGTTCTCATGCTTTTCACCTTTAAGATGATACCAGAAAAACTGTTTCTGGTTTCATCTTCTTTCATCTTTTGATAAAAAGCATGTCTGACCAATGAGGAGGGATGGCCATTAGGCAACAATGATAGTGGTTCCTTGTGCCTTTGGTAAAAAACCCTTGATTTCTTTCCAAATTAAGGCTTTTCCAGTTGTGAAGAAAGAAGGATGTCTATGTGACATGCATTTGGTATGGAATAGGAAGCATTATTTGGGTTATCTTAACAACTGCTCTCTTGAGAATATCTAAATGACACTCATGTTCTACGCTAATCTTACAGGAGTAATCTCACCTTTTCAAGAGGCTGGAGAAGCTGCCAAAGAGAAAAATGTGAGAAGTTCCAGCTGTAGGAACATTAAGTCTTCTAGCCTTTACGAAGTGAACTAAGGACTACAGTCCCCAGAGGGACCTCTGCAAGATTTCTGGGTGCTTACTTGGTTACGCTATTTTTATTATCCTGTCTTCAAGAAAGAGTATTAAGGTCAAGGAAGAGCTAGCTTACAAGGTTTCCAAGAGAAGTCTAAGAAGAATCTTAAGAGATTCAAGACATTCGCTCAGAAGTAGGATGAACCTATAAAACAAGAAAAGAGGTCCTTGTAATGAGCGTTTGTGAGCAGTATTGCAACAGTCTTATTATGAAACCGACTGTCATTCAGCCTGGCAGTCTCAGGGCTGCTTCTGTTGGATGAACCCTGAAAGAATTTCTTGTGCCATGTTCTATTTCCCAGAGAACTATTTTTGGAGAAGTTATCAGAACAATATTTTTTCCAAAGTGTTCGTCTCTGGTAATTTATTACTTCATGCCTTCCTCTTCACTCTTGAGACAAAAAGACTCATAAGAATTCTTGACATGGCAAGACGATGGAATATTATAGTCCTACCTCTTCCATCCCAATCTGTGCAAGTAGATGCATACAATGACACCTATTACAGGTGACAGCCCCTAGTCCTAGGAGAAATCATCATCTATGGTGGTAATAACTCATTTAGCCCTTTACTATTCATAGAATGTGCCCCAAATCATTATTCCATTTTATATATATATATATATATATATATATATATATATTTGTACACAGTTTTAGTTGTAGATGGACACAATAACTTTATTTATGTGGTGCTGAGGATCGAACCAAGTGCCTCACACATGCTAGACAAGTGCTTTTACCACTGAGCCCCAGCCTCAGCTCATAATCCTCAATTTTTTTGAGCTAGTGAGTACAATTCCCATTTTTTTTAAGAGGGTGTGATATGGCCAGGATCACATGAGGCTCCAAGTCCAGTGATGACTCATAATTTTTGACTATAAAATGAGGTTCACTGGACTAGTTAAAACATTATACCAGGTTACTTACCTTTGTAAGCTTCAGCTATAAAATGTAGAGAGTTTAACTATTATTAAGTTCTGACTTCAAGGTATTATGTTGGGTGGGAGCATTGCAACTTGAATAAAGTGGGTGTGGCAAAAAGATAGGAAAACAGATCTCACTAATCCTATACTGGGTTTATGGGTTTGAGAGCCTTGAAACATGGGTGCCTCCAGGGAGTGCCTTCCAGTGTCAATGCTAATAAGCTTTCTATTTTAGTCAGCTTTTTTTTTGCTGCTGCAACCAAAGATCTGAGAAGAACAATTTTAGGAGGAAAACTTTATTTGGGGTTCACAGTTTCAGATGTCTCACTGCACAGATGGCCGACTCCATTGCTCTGGGCCTGAGGTGATGCAGAACATCATGGTGGAAAGGTGTGGAGAAGAAGCTAAGGACATGGCAAACAAAATGCGGAGACAGAGAAAGAGAACAAAACAAAACATTGCTTATCAGGCATAAAATATAAATCCTAACAGCATGCCCTCTGTGACACTCTCCTCCAGCCTACATTTACCACTCAGTTGATCCATATCAATGGATTAGTCCACTGATTGTTAAGACTCTCATAACCCAATCATTTCACCTCTAAACTTTGTTGCATTTTCTCACACATGAGCTTTTAGGGGTTAACCTTGTATCTAAACCATAACATCTCTTTTTTTAAAAAAAGTGAATGAGAAGTGATACAGTTCATTTTGAGGAGTATATTTCCACTTGAAAAATGTAGAAAGGCAATTACTACAGAGAAGCACCATGTGCATTATAAAATAACCTTATTTTATAGATGAAAGAAAAAAAAAGATGAAAGAAAAACATATAAGCACTGTTGTCCAAGGGAAATAATAGTTTGCTTTATTTTAAAATAGTAACTTCCTTACATTGGAGCACTAGCCAAAATTCAATACTGATGCAAATATAAATTTCTTAGGAGCCCAAAATATGTGTCAGGTGGATTTTCTGAATTTCTTAAAAGGCAGAATTTTTAAACCATATCAAACAATTAGAAACAATATCTATCAACAGCATGCCACAGTTTAAACCTAAGCCAAATAACCAAACTATGTAAATTATCTCAAATAATTTTTGTTAATATTTAGGAGAACAACAAACATTTTTAATAACTTAAAGTGTATTTCTACTTATCTCCTAATCCTTCCAGGAAGTATAACTTTTCTTCACTAGATTTAAATTTTTAAAAATTCAAATATTTACTCATGGTAAGAAATTCTGACATTAACTATTAGCTGAATTCATCACAAATAGAAAATCATGAAAGTTCATTTAGCACTTACAAATGACCACTTATAGCAAGTCCTTATAAACCCTGGATGAGAAAGGCAGTTCTCCACTTTCTAATAACACCTAAAGATTACATTGCATAATATTAATTCATCAGAACAACCTTCTGACCAATGATAAATAATATATAGGAAAGTCATAGTCCTACTTAATAATATTTCATTATAAATATTCTGACCAATATTAAAAAATTTTAAACTCCATTATGCTGACATTTCCAGAAGTATTATCAACTTAGCAATGAGTCATTTTTATGATGCCATTTATTAAACTGAAAATAAAGAAAGATGGCATATCTGGTTTATATTTAAGTGATTTAATTCAATAATTCAATCTGTCACCACTTGAAAAGTACATTTGTTTCCTCAGCATTGGATGCAATATGAGGTACAAGCAGCCATCCTGGTTCTCAACTTCCCTCTAATGGAAAGCATATGGAATTGCAGCAGTGAACATCAACTGGTTCCTATTCAAAGCTCCATTCCAAAAATGTGAGAGAGAATCTAAGATAAAAGTTCTATTAGAGGCAAGAAGATTCTAATCTCAAATATTTTATTCCAACAACTTACATTATACCAGCTGACCCATATTGAATAGTAAATGCTCACTGAAAACAAATGAAGATAATAATACCCTCATTGTCATTCACTGATAATTTTTAAACTGTTTTATATCCAAATATATGTATATAAAACATTTGTACAGATAAATTAGTGTTAAGAATTTTAAAATGTACAGTAAAATCCACAAATGTCCTTTCTATGTTCTGAAATCTTTCAAATGTTTTTAAGATTGGAGGCTTCAACATCCTGGCTAAATGTGAAAAACATGTCAGAATTCAGTATGTTATAGGACGCTCCAGAACTGACCATCTCATAAAAGCAAAACAAAGTTATGGTGCTTCCATTATTGCTTAATCCTCTAGGTTAAAAAGTACACCACTGAATACTAAAGCCAGGTATTTACTAAATAGTGTTGATTTCTACTAGCCAAATTCAGCCCTCCCAAACCAGCTGAACCAGGAGTTTTTTTCAGCTCATTGTCCATTAGGAGTTTGAAACATTTTCAATTAAAGCCTTCATTTTTCCTGTAGATTTCAACATATGTGGCCCAAACTGGAAAAGAAAGAAAAAGAATAAAGATAGACATCAGTTCTTATAACAGTAATAATATATCCCACCCCCATCATGGATCACAGCACTGGGTATGTTCTGCATGAAAAACCAAGCAGATACTAGTAATGTTAAAACGTTTATGAATTAAACATTGTCACAGGACACAGCAACAGGATGAAAGACAAAGAATTAGCCAATAGAAAGGAAAACTATAATTAGCAACACCCTACTTCAGTGCAAGTTTACTTCTGAGTAAAATAACAAGCACAAATTTTCCCTTGCAATGTCTAAACGACAGAGTTTTAAGGATACCATAATTTGATATCTGCCTCTCTGGAATAATGAGTTCTTATTCCCATGACAATTACAAATAAAGGGAATGTAGAAATTAATACCGAAGAGCTTCTATGAAACCTGCTCCATCTCCACCTATCCCATATACAACTGGGTCCACACCTCAGGTATCACCCTATTCAAAAGACGTGACAGGGCTCACTAAGAAAAATGATCTGGCTTTGAGTTTCTGTATCACAACATGTGCACTGCCCTAACATAAAAATTTTATTACAGTGAATTTCACTTCATTATGCTTAAAAATATAACCCTGTATTGGAAATTTAACATTAGAAATAGCTAAGCATGAGATACAGGATTAACTTTTGCTTTCTTCTTTATGCTCTTATACAAGTTTTATATTTCGAAATAAATAACTATCATTTTTATAGTAAAAATATTAAAAATATAAATGCTAAACAAATATATTACCATTTTTCCAATTACTTTCAATCTATTTGTAGATAAGGACAGAATCCTGTGTCATATTCTATTGAATCTTGCAGAGGACTCAGATGAATGACTGGCAATGGCAGGGACTCAGTCATGGTGTGAACTGCCACGTAATAAGAAAGAATATGGGCTACTACTCACCAACGCCTTCTCTGAGGTAGCCTCTGATTCAGACTTTGGAACTCCTTTTTCAATTTCTCCTTGGCTATTGCTTCGATATCGATAAGCAAATTTCTTTTTCAGAGCTTCTGCTATGAGGGCAGCTGGATCAGTAGCATCTACTGGCTTGGGCTTTACATCTTGCTCTGACCTTAGAGAAGTGAACAGAAACCAAGGGGACAGGCTCATACACTGTCATTCCTCCGGGAAGTACTGTGTCAGCCCTTGTCTGACCAATAGTTCTTCTCTAGCATCACAGTTACTCCATAATGGCACTGACAAACTTTGCTAGCAGTGATATGGAAACCTAGATTAAGGCTGAACAAAAGTACACGAGAGTCCCATAAAGAGTCACTCGGTATCTTCAGAATACTGTGTTCTCCTTCAGAAACTAGGGTTCCATCTTCCATGTGTATACAGTAACCACCTGTATAAGAACATAATACATCCTTGTTTTTTGGTACTGGGGATTGAACCCAGGGGCTGTGTGCATGCAAGGCAAGAACTCTACCAACTGAACTATACTCCCAGCCCAACACACCTTTTCTGAATGAATGACTACATAGTCACAATAGAGACATTACACAAAAGGGTGACATTAAATGGGAAAACTAAAAAAAATCACCTGGAAATATTAGTCGATTTTGCTACTGGTATAGGAGGAGTCACTGGGACCCATTTTTTTTTTTAACTAAAAACTATTCATGGTAGTCAAACAAAATTCCTTAGGAAGTGTGGTGTTGGTTTTACATGATATTAACAAATGGGAAATCAATAAAAAAGTACATGTATTCTCACCTCTTAACTGACCGAAGTTTTACACTATTCATATCTTTAAGGATCTCTAGCATATTTGGCATGTCAGATTTCTTTGGATTGTTTTTAGCCAAAGTCTTTCCAGCATTGGCTTTTTGCTCTCTTCGTTCTTTAATCAGGTCAATAGCAGATTTACTTTGGTGGAGTCCTGGTGGAGGTGGTGGAGGAGGAGGCAACGGTGGTGGTGGTGGTGGTGGTGGTGGTGGTGGTGGCGGCGTGGAGGGAGGAGGTGGGGCTGTGGAAACAGATGTGGCAGAAACCAAGTCACCTACTGAAGAAATAAGAGGAAAATATGCACATACACACCCACACAACTTAATCCTGCTGGTAATAAAGAAAATAATAGTTTTTAAAAGCAAATGTATGTTAGGGACTTTTGTATTCCTACAAACAATATCTTTAAAAAGAATCTCAGTGTGTAAGGAGAAAAGCAGTTTCAGTTACTTCCTGAGAAATGCTTGAATCTGATCTACTATCTCATTCAATTCAAACTCTCCAGATGGAAAAGTTCCATTTAACTTAACGGATGTTTCTGTGACATCAAAATGCTCAAGTTTGTAGCACAATGTATAATCACTTTTAGTAGAAATATAATGCAGTCTGTATCACATAATAACCTCTATTTTTAATATGTACAGTTTGGTAATTTAGTACTATTATAACTACTGGAAAACACTTTGATAAATTTGTGGTTCATTTGAAGTATACTTTCATATAAGACACTTTGAGCTAAAAGCTTGCATTATATGGCTGGGCTCAGTGGTGCATAACTGTAATCCTAGTGTCTTGGGAGGCTGAGGCAGAAGGATTGCAAGTTCAAAGCCAGCCTTAGCAACTTAGCAAGAGGTCCTAACCAACTTAGCTAGACCCTGTCTCAAAATATAAAAATAATAAAAAGGGCTGGGGATATGGCTTAGTGGGTAAGCACCCCTGGGTTCAATCCCCAGTACCAGAAAAACAAAACAAAAACAAACCAAAAAATGGCATTGACTAGAATAGGTACAGAAGAAATGTTTTAGAATTACTGTTGAACAAATTACTGTTGAACAAGCAGAAGAAAAAAAAAGTGTCACATTTAAATTTCAAAATAAGAACTATAGAGTTATAAAATAAGGACCTAAAATTCATCTGCATAATTGAACATAAAGAGTTGTTTACTGGTCGAGGAAATAGCACTGATGGAAAGAATTACTCAAAAGATTCAGATTATAAGTAGAACATCTAAACTCTAAAATTATCTACAATTTACAGTAGTTTTCCTAGTTTGCCAGAAGAGGGAGGTAAAGCAAAAGAAAACAATTTAAAATTAACAGAATTAAAAGGCAGAACTTTAGGATTTTAAAAAGTTACATGCTTATGCAAAATTTACTGGAGGAACACCCATTATCCCTCCAACACTTGGTGCCCAGAGCTCCTTCATGCTATCATGTCCAGGTTGGATAAGATTTCCAAGATGGCACAGGCACAGAGGCTCAGAGGCAAGATATCTGACTATCCTATTCTTTCAACAGAGCTGATTAATCCTGGATCATGACTTGGGAACAACCATGGGAAAAACCACCACTATATGCCAACAGGTTAGTAGGCTAGGATTTCAAGGCTATGGTTTCTTCCCCAAAGAAGCAGTAACATCGCACTAATTAAACCAACAGTATTAGACAAGGAGTTAGAAGACCCAAGGTCAGATTCTATTCTTTGCAGCTGCTAAGTGGTGAAGACATTTCATCTTTTCTGTATTTGCTTGAACAATATTGTAACTCAATAATATAGGTACTATTATGCTGATGTTAAAGCATGAAAGGGAGGTGAAAGTAGTCCTAGACTACCCAGGTCCTGCAGAGAAACCCAGGCTCCTTTCACTGGACAGAAATCCACAGAATGACCTCATGTCCAACAGAGGTGGTGTTACTATTACAGACAGCTAAGTTTCCCATAAGGGAAGGATTCAAACAGTAGTAATTCAACTGCGTGGATTTCAATGTTTTCCAAATAGGTTTCCTAGTCATCCTCCCTGATAGCATCAAGATTGTTCAAAACACACACACAAAAAACTACCTAAACTTAACCTGGTTCTACAATAAGCAAGGCAGGGGACTAACACTTGATTTTCAAACATCAAGAGTTGTTACTTACTAATCATAAATTTAGTGGCATTCAAAATTTCCAATTTGCCAGGTAAAACAAACAAATGTAGGACTTACAGACCTGCAGTGAGATTCTGTTGCTCTTGCAGGGTCACGATTTTGGCAATCTGAGCTCTGAGAGTAGCAAGTTCATTTTCAAGTGCACAGATCTTCTGCAGGGCTTCCTCATTGGCCAGAACTGCATTCTTTGGTGGAGGCGCTTCTTGAGACAGGCTTGGTAAGGAAATATGCCTGCTTGGGGGCTTCTCGAAGAAAGGAAGGTCATCTTGAAGGGGTGGATTTGACCTGACTTCTGTCCTGCAAGCAAGATAGGAGTGGTTGTCTCAGGCTTTTCAAGAGGAGGAAAAACCACTGCCACCCATTAGCAAAAGTATCAGGACATAACACTGATAAACAACTCTTCAAACTGATCTTACATAAATCCCCTCCATAAGTGTTAAAAACAGCAAAGCACTTGTCAATCTTACATAGCCATGCCTAGATTTCTTATTCATTCTTCTTAATCTCTATAGAATATGTACAAACTAACACTATCAAGAGGCATTGGATTCCACCAAAGTTTTACTAATTCATGTTTTGTTTTTACTTAAACTAAGAGATGTTTCAATGTTCTTCAAAATGGAAAATTATTATATTTAACTGCAAAATCAAATCAGTAATCCATTAGCCTTTTCCCAGGGTATTGGCTTCTTCATATCAATATTAGTGTTTCCTATGTAGGATGAACACATCAAATTGCAAGACATACAGTGAAAGTATAGATGAAATATGGCAAACAGAAACTGAAAAGGAGAGAAAAGAATCATAATTGAATCTATGAATCACCTATATGGATGGTCTCATTTTCATTTGGGTGTAAAATATTTTAATGCACTCAATCTAATAGTTCCAAATGGAAGTCTTTTGGGGTTTCTCAAATGTCAAAGTATACAAAAGTATCCATTTCTTCCTGTTTTCTACAATTAGGTATACCTGACATATATTTCCCCTTTAAGGCCTTTTCTGTCTTAAATTCCTTCTCTTTAAGAAAATAGTTCTAGGGGATGGGGTTGTAGCTTAGTAGTAAAGCACTCACCTCACATGTGTGAGGCACTGAGTTTTATGGTGTGTCCTCAACACACCATAAAAATAAAATACATTATATCTATGTATAACTAAAAAAACCAAACCAAGCCAAAACAAACCCAAACAAACAAACAACAAAAAACAAAACAAAACAAAAAACAGTCCTTCTCTAACTTCTTGTTTATATCCACCCAGCAAAACCTATCAGCTCAAAAAACTGCATCCTATCTTTTGACATTCTGGAAATTCTGTAATGCCAAAATTCTTCATATGAACATAGTAATCATAGTTCACAGGTACCTCAAAAGAGTAGTAAGCCAAGGCCCTAGTGCAGTATCATCTGGGGAAAGTTTCCTGTGCTTGAAAGTTATTGGGAGACAGAGGAAACTAACACTGAATGAAACCTTTGCTATCAGACACAGGGCTAGAGCTTCCCTCTCTATCACTACATTTAATCTAAAGTCCATGGATCAGATATTATTTTAGAGCTATGGTGGAGGCGCTTCTTGAGACAGGCTTGATAAGGACACAAGAATCAGTATCACTCAGCTAGTGCATCAAGAATCAATACTGGAGCTGAGGTTTATGAAGATTCTCAGGCTAACAACATTGCTATTCTTCTATTAAAGACACTGAAGTGTTAATTCAGCCCTACGTATTAAAAACTTAGTTTTTTACACTAAGAACATATAATGTTTTGTTTTTAATAAAACAATAATGATTTTTTAAATTACTTTTTTCAAAGAACTAGGGAAAATTGCTGGTAGGTAGAAAAGTGGGAGTAAAAGAATTCTAGCCTCATGAAAAGATCTTGAAAAAATATAGATCTCAAATAAACAAAGAATTAAAGTAGCCCACTTGTTCAAAACTGTAGTGGAGGAAGAAGGGAAGGAAACGGCACCAGAAACTGAAAGTGATTTTAGAGAAAGCGTTTGGAAGCAGTGTCCTCAAGACAAAAAGGCATGAGGAGCATCTGGTAGGGACAACAGAAGGAAATGCAACCAAGAAGAGAGGAAAAAAACTCATGGACAAAGATGTATTTCTATCTCTACTGTCTTCCCATTTCCACAAAAGTGGTTGCTTTGTTTGCCAAAACCTATCTGAAAGAATGAATATATTCATACCTATGTCTGTGAATGGAAAAGAGGATGATGGTTTGTTTTTGTATTATGAACAAGTACAGAGTGCAGAGATTTCCTACAGCCTATATACAGAAAATAAATTTTGGAACCTTTAATACTAGTAAACTAAACATGATTTTACTGTTTATTCTAAAAACTAATAGTCACTTTGGCAGATTATATCCCCACCTAATATTCTCCTAGAAATTAAGAAATTCAAAAGTATTAAATCCTCACGTTTTAAAATAGTATCATTCAAGTAAGCCAAACTTCAAATTCTGCAAAGATTTATTTCTCAATATCTAGAATTAGAACAAGATAATATGATATACTGGATTAAGATATCAACTGCAAGTTATATTTGAGCTAACTTTCTTTAAATTATCTTCTAGAAGAAATAAATTATAAAAGATAATAAATACTGAGCAGAAACTACAATATTTTAAAAAGGGTTAAGTTTCTACATCTCCCCATGAATACTACAAGTAAATTTAATGGTTTTGTTTTTCCCGTCTATTGAAATTTTAAGAAACAAAAAACAAATGTAAAAACAACAAAAAGGGACATCAAGTGTGGGTGTCTCCACAGCAATAAATAATCAGCCAGGGTGATGTTTCTTTTGTTTCTTTAAACAATTTTCACCATACCAACTTCTGCTGATGAGATTTCCATCTTTTTTGCTTAATTGATTTTGGCTCCCCAAATGCTCAAAGGTAGAAGAGCACAGGCTTCTATTTAGAGTTACACTGCACCGGAATTCTCTTAGTTTTTTCAATGTTAGTATCTAAAGAAGCCACTTTTTGAGCACAATTTACATAAATACAAAGGTCTTTTTAACTCCATTGATTATTGCAAAGAAAAGTCTAGGTTAAACCTAATAGGTCCTTTCCCTTATCTCACAATGATGGAAATTCAAAATATGAGATAGTCTTAAATTTTCTCAGTGTCCTAAATAGGTGGTATTCCCAAAATGTTTTTTAATGATCTTTCTTCATCTTTTAGGTTAGAAAGCAATCAAGAAATGTATAAAAATATATTATTGTGTTAGAATCCAGGGAGAAAAAAAAAAAGCTGATTAATAATTTAGTTCCTTCTCCTTGGGTAGAAAATGACTAATCTTTTCAAGTGGGCAAGTGGCTGGATTAAGACAACTAGCCAAGTTGACAGCAGGAGGTAATCCACAAGAGGATGGACAGTAGAGGGGTAGAGACAGAGTGTTGAGAGGCTATAGACCAGAAGATGAGTGGTAATTTCCACATTTAGCTGCTCTAGGCTCTGTTCAACACAAGCCTTCTGTTTTTTTTTTTTTTAATTTTAAAAGTTAAATCTTCTGAAAAGTGTATTTATTGGGAATAACATTTTGCCACTAAATGCAGATTTTTTCCTTCCACTTATGCCTATAAATTATCAGTTAATGTCTCAGATCAAATAATTAGGATTAGAAAGGAAACAAGTAACACCTGCTGCTTGATGTGCTATGAGTAGGAAATTGTCTTACTCTGATCCATTGAGTGCCCTGGTCTATTCTCCACCTAAGAGCTAAAGTGAGCCAGCCTGCCTGCTTCCCAGGTCACTTCCTTTAGAGTCTTTTAAATCCTTGCCATCTTCTATGAAGTTGGGATCAGGCTGGGGTCTTTTCTGATACTCTCTTAAAAATAGCACATTTCATTTGCAGCTATTATTCAAATTTGAAAAATTAAACTGAAGAGCTTTAGTAAAGTCTGCAGTCTCACATTATTCACTATCTTTATACTATAGATTTTTATAAATAAGTTAGCCCTCTGTATCCATAGGTCCCACATTTATGGATTCAGCAAACACAAATGAAAAATATGTACACTTTTAATTATGTCTGTACTAAATAGCATTTACATTGTATTAGGTGTTACAAGTAATGTAGATTTAAAATAATCAGGAGGATGTGCACAGGTTATATGCAAATACTATGCCATGTTACACAAAGGATTACACACCCATAGATTTTGGAAATGCAGAGGAATAGCCCTAGAATACTGAAGGGCAAGGGCCAACTATATGCTCATCTTCCTCATTAGATTACAAGCATCCTGGTGTAAGGAAGAGTTACTTGCAATACTTTTAAGCATTATGAATCTTAAAAAATTTCATTTTGGTTGGGGGTGTAGCTCAGTGGTAGAACACATGCCTAGCACACAAGGCCTTGGGCTCATACCCAGCACTGCAAGAAAAAAAAATTACTTAATATTGGGTTTGAAGAATTAGACATAATTATAAATTATTATTACAGAATGAGCAAACTGAAGTAAACTTGAAATATTTCAGTATTTCTTAATGTTCTACTCCAAAAGCAATCAAATACTTGATGACAATATTTCTACTTGAGGACTCACAGATTATAATCTTTAATTTTTTATTATTTTCAGTTCAAAAATGTTATATTTTGTATATAACCAAAGACTACACATTTTCCTTAAGATACTATCATACAGAACAAATTAATTATCTTAGGCAAGATTATTAATCATAATGTTTCTTCCAAAAAATGTCAATGTTACTTATAAAATCAATCAACTGGGAAGGCTCCTGCTAATTCCTCATTAGTCTCTAGCATCCCCTTCTGAGAAGCCTTGCCAAACCTCTCTCATCCTACAGTCCAGCTGCCTTCCGTAACTGCTTAGTACATTTTATAGTATCAGTATTATTGAACTCTTTTCTTAATCTCCTCTAACATACCAAATATTCCTTGAATGCAAGGACTTATTTCTGATGCCTGCCTAATAAAAGTGAAGAGCATGTGGCCAGATGGAATGGTGCATGGGTATAATCCCAGTGACTTGGGAGGCTGAAAGCAGGAGGATCACAAGTTTGAGGCCAGCCTCAGCAATTTAATGAGGCCCAAGCAGCTAAGCAAGATCCTATTTAAAAAATAAAAAGGGCTGAGGATGTAGCTCAGTGGTAAAGTGCCCCTGGGTTAAATCCCCATCACCAAAAACAGTCAATATTTAATTCAGGCTCTTTCAAATAAACACACACTTCTCTAACTCTTATATACTGTTTCCTTTGAATCACAACTCTTCTTGACTCACAATTTTTAGGAAATATTCTCTTAGTATACAAATTCTCTACTATGGCCCATACTGATCCCTCTGCCTCAATAAGACCATTATAATTACTGTACTTATGTAAACAAATTTATGATAGTTCTTTCTGGCCTCTCATACAAGAATATAAACTTCTAAAATGCAGGGATTCACAAGAATTTAGGATACAATTATATGTCTCTGAGAATTTATACTAGATGAGTATTAAAACTGAACAAAAATGAAGACTGCTCAAGAAAAAGAGTAGAGTTAGTTACTAGAGATCAAATGGGGCGACTAAAAGACAGTATTCAAATGTATCATCTTTAAAGGATATTATTTTAAATAACAGACATTGTATCTCAGCTCTGACAGCCTTCCAAACTAACCTTAGTCTTGTTGAACACTCTCCTTCTTCTGTGGCTACCCATCCAACATCAGCGAAAGATACCACTGCATCCTCTCCCAGGTGGTTGGGACTCCATTCTGTTGCATGGCTGGTAAGCTGTAAATTATAAACAGAGAAAGTCCTTCACCAGACACAAAATGTTATCAAACTATTTTCCTTACCTTAAAAAAAAAAAAAATCACCTTTGGTGTTAAAAACACATGGGTGATATCTAACATTTCCACTACAGGTCTTCATGAAAAGGATCACAGTTACATCACTGTATGACAAACTATTTAACTTCATCCAATTTTTATTTTACAGTTTAATTTTTAAAATTTGATTCATCCTAACATGTTAAAAAACATTTTTAGATTCTAAGCATTAGAAACCACTTATCTTCTGAAGAAATTTAGTGAAGGGGAACACAGTTAAGAAAAAAACAAGTGACCAATTTGTGCTAAATGCAGGAATGTTTTTAAATGACTGTCATACAGCAGTGCTGTCATAATGCTATATTGTCTGTATTTTGTTAATGTGATAGTGTTGAAAATATATTTTTAAAAGCTCAGTTACTGGATGCCTGCACTACTACCGACATTGCTGCCTCTGATTCCGCTGCAGTCAGCCTGAAGTCACCTTTGTGGGCTGCTGCAGAAGCCACTGCTGTTCTTGGAGGTCTCTTCTCTAGGCATGGCCTCCTTTACCTCAGACAAGAATTTCGTCGCTTCCTCTGTGGTCATGCCCCTGAACTGGAGGTCTCCTGTCCATCAGCAGCCTGCACTGCTGCTGCCATTGCTGCTGCCAGCCTGAGATCCCCTAGAGGTGTTATTTTGGGTGCTGCTGCTACAGAAGAAACCACTGCCCCAGATGCAACTGAAGTCTATATGGATGCTGACCCTTGGAGATCGCCTGGAGATTCTGCCTCCACAAGCTGCAGTTGTAGCTACTGCTACTGCTAACTCACTGCCAACTGCCAACAACCACTGCTGCCTAGAGAACTGCTTCAGGGGAGTCCCCAGGTTTGGTTGCACATGCTTGTACCCTTTTTGGGACACCAGCCAAGGCCCGGGGCCTGGGTGCCAGCAAATTTATCACAATAAAAGCCTCTGTCTGGGGACTCCAGCTGGGACCTGCAGGGGTCCCAGTGTGGGGGTGCCTGCAGGTTTGGAGGAGTCTGGGGTCTTCCTGCTGAGAGTGCTGGTGGCCATTGTCTTGCTGCTGCATCTCAGGGTTGCTCCTTTGCATGAGTGTATCCCTGGTGGTCTCTCTGCAAGTAGGAGCTGCACTGAGATCTTGAGACTGCACCATGGCCAATCCTGAGGTATCTGAAGCCCAGATCGGTGGGATAGAGACTGGGTTTTCGAGGGCTGATCTGGGTTTGGTGATCCCAAGAGATGTCAGAGACAGAGCTGAGAAACTGTTGAACACTGACAGAGACAGTTTGACTTTCCAGCAAGTTATTTTATTTTATTTTTTGATTCACTAATCATCTCTAGCATCAGAGTGTGGAAGTCAATGATATATGATTGGTGTTTTGCATTTTTGTTGTATTCTTATGTCTGATTTTTTTCTCCTCTTTGTCTATTTTCTTGGATTTTCTTTCCAACTTTTCTCCAACCAACAGCCAATCTCTCATTGGCTCCTCTCCAACTCTTCCTGTGATTTTTTACTTCTAGCTTCTCTCTTCCTTCCTTGTAAATATTGCATACTATACTACCTCTGAAATTGTAAATCTTTTTAACAAATATTCTTTTTGTACTGTAGATAGCTATTGAACTCATCATTTTGATTTAATATGAGAAAGCCTTAGAGGGAGCTATTAGGTGTTCATTGGGTGCTGTTGATATTAGTCTTACCAGTAAAGGTGAAGCACTGGAAACCTTCAGGGACACTATAGGTCTACAGGGTAGAATTTATCCTGCCTTAGATCCATACTTTTACATGGGAAAACACTAACACATGAAAAAACAAGGGAATAAAGCACCCCAAACAAACCAAGATGCTTCAACAACAGAAGCCACTGATAACACAGTAGAAGAAATGTCCCAAGGAGTTCAGATTGTATATAGTTAAACTGATATGTGAAGTAAAGGATAGTATAAGGAGTGAAATCAAAGAAAAAATACAGGAAGTTAAAGACTATTATTTCAATAAAGAGTTAGAGATAGTGGAAAAAAACCAACAAGCAGAAATCCTGGAAATAAAGGAATCAGTAAACCAAATTATAAATTCAATAGAAAGCATCATCAACAGTTTAGACCACTTGGAAGACAGAACTTCAGATAATGAAGACAACATATATAACCTTGAAAGTAGAATTGAACATGGGGAGAAGATGCTAAAAAAACCATGAACAGAATATCCAAGAATTATGGGATAACAAGAAAAGACAAAATTTAAGAGTTACTGAAATAGAGGAAGGAGCAGAGATACAAACCAAAAGAATGCACAATCTTTTCAATGATATAATAGCAGAAAATTTCCCAAACCTAAAGAATGGGATGGAAAATCAAATACAAGAGGCTTACAGGACCCCAAATGTACAAAATTATAGCAGACTCACACCAAAACACATTATAATGAGAATGACTAACACAGAGAATAAAGATGAAATCTTAAAGGCTGTGAGGAAAAAAAACATAAAATTACGTATAGGGGAAACAAATTCGGATCTCAACTGATTTCTCAGTCCAGACCCTCAAAGCTAGGAAGTCCTAGAATAATATATTTCAAGCTCTGAAAGAAAACGGATGCCAACCAAGAGAATTTAATATCCAGAAAAATTAAGTTTCAGATTTAAAGATGAAATTAAAACCTTCCATGATAAAAAAAAAATTTAAAAGAATTCACAACTAGAAAGCCTACACTACCAAGCATTCTCAGCAAAATATTCCATAAGGATGAAGTTAAAAAAAAAAAAAAAAAGTGAAAGCCAGCAAAGGGAGGATATACACTAAAGGGACATTCAACCAAATGAGAAATTAAGACAAATCAAAAGCCAGCAATAAACCAAAATGACAGGGAATATAAATCAAATCTCAAAAATAACCCTGAATGTTAACAGCCTAAACTTATCAAAAGACATAGACTGGATCTTAGCCTTGCAACCAGCCAGCAAGAAATGCCGCGGTCCCTGGAAGCCTGCGTCCCAGGCCCACAAAAAAATGATGAAAGCTCTCTGCAAGAAAAAGATAAAGGTGAGAATTCTTTCCAAGGGAATTCTGACAAGGAAAACGTAAATTATGAAGATGATAAAAATGAGCTTCCACCATCAAACCTCCAGAAGGATGATGGAAACAACCAGATGGTGGATGTCCATGAGGACCCTGAAGTAAGACATGACTCCTCTACCTTCCAAGTCAACAATGGGAATATAAAATGGAATAAGGAATGCCAAGATAAAATTCCTTCAGAAAAAGAAATGAAAAAGAGCACACAGGATGAAGCTGTGGGGAGAAGGTTCAAGATCACAATTCCTTATGGGATGAAGTATAATAAGACTTGGCTAATGAATTCAATCCTGAGCCATTGCTGTGTCCCCTTTACACCAATTGATTTCCACTATATCAAAAATCGGGCCCAATTTTTTGTCCAGGATGCTAGTACTGCCTCTGCATTGAAAGATGTCAACTGCAAATTTGTGATGAGGAAAATCAAAAGATATCGATCTTTGTCAATCCCTGTATTGAACCAAATACCTTGCAGAATAAATTCACTCCAGAAAAAATGGAGAAGCTAATGCTAGTGATGAACAAACGATATGATGTCTCACAGCAAGCCCTTGATCTCCAGAAGCTCCGCTTTGACCCAGACTTGATGGAGCATGACATTGACATGATCCTAAACCGAAGACAGTGTATGTTTTCTACCCTTCAGATCATTGAAAGGAATTTCCCTGAGCTGTTGTCCTTGAACTTGTGTAACAACAAACTATACTGGCTGGATGGCCTATCTGACATTGTAGAGAAAGCCCCCCAAGTCAAGATCCTGAACCTCTCCAAAAATGAGCTGAGGACCTCCAAGGAGTTGGTCAAGCTGAAAGGGATGAAGCTGGAAGAGCTATGGCTAGAAGGAAACCCCTTGTGCAGTGACTTCCCAGAGCAGTCTGCTTATGTAAGTGCTATCCAGGATTGTTTCCTCAATTTGTTACGCCTGGATGGCCAGGAGTTACCAGAATCAATTGGAATTGACAATGAAACACCTGAAATAATAAAACCTTGTAAGGAAAGCTATAAAGGATATGATAATCTGAAGAGTCTAGTATTGCAATTCCTGCTTCAGTATTACCTCATTTATGACTATGGAGATCGACAGGGTCTCATTGATGCTTACCATGATGAGGCCTGCTTCTCCCTGACCATTCCCTTCAACCCTGAGGACCCAGACTCGAATAGCTTGGAAGAGTATTTCAAGGATAATAGAAATATAAAGAAGCACAAGGACCCCTTTTTGCAGATGCAGCTGCTAAAGCACACAAAATGTGACATTGTGAACTGCCTCAGTGTATTGCCCAAAACTCAGCATGATTTTAACTCGTATGTGATAGACCTATGTGTCCAGACAGAAATGATGCTCTGTTTTTCTGTCAATGGATTGTTCAAGGAAGTGGAAGGAAAGTCTCAGGGTTCTGTTTGTGCCTTCACCTGGACCTTCATCTTAACTTCTGGCAGCAATTCCAGTCTGTGCATCGTGAATGATGAGATGATTGTGAGGAATGCCAGCCCCAAAGAGAACCGAGAGCGCCTTCTCCATCCCCATGCTTACACCCTCCTCCAACTATGTGCCTGACCTCTACCAGGAGCAGCAGGGAATAGCACAGCCTTTCTCCACCAAGTCTGAGATGCAGAGCCTTGAGCGCTCTCAGAAGTGCCTTGAAGACAAGGAGGAGAACTAACCAGAGTTGGTCAGGTCTTCACTGTGTTCCAGGTCAAGAATCCACAGGAGGCCTCAAACAGATGCCCTAAAAGGAACCCTTGAATGTCATTTTCCTTTTAATCCACATTATTGTGTCTCTCTTACTAACTTATGACCATGCCCATGTCTGAGGTTGACAGTCTTGCTGTTCAAGAAGCCAAAGTTAACTTGTAGGTCGGGTAATACAACTATCCAAAAAGCCAGTTGTTATATGATTATTTTTCACCACTGAAGATGGCTGTTTATTATCATAATAAAGAGTGAAATAGCATGTTACAAAAAAAAAAAAAAAAGACATAGACTGGCAGATTGATTAAAAAGCAAGACCCAATAATATGCTGTCTTTAAGAGACTCACCTGGGCAAAGATGTCCACAGGCTGAAGGTGAAAGGATGGGGAAAACTTATCACTCTTATGGATTATGTAAACAAGCAGGGGTTTCCATTCTCATTTCAGATAAAGCAGATTTCAAACCAAAGTTAATCAAAAGAGACAAAGAAGGGCATTTCATACTCCTTAAGAGAAGTATATATAAGCAGGACATAACAATTATAAATATTTATGCCCCAAACCAGCTCAATTCACAATAGCTAGACTATGGAACCAACCAATAGATGAATGGATTAAGAAAATGTGGTATATATACTCAATGGAATATTACTCAGCTTTAAAAAAGAGTAAAATTATGGCATTTGCCAGTAAATGGTTGGAGTTGGAGAATATCATGCTAAGCAAAATAAGTCAATCCTACAAAATCAAAGGCTGAATGTTTTCTCTAATATGCAGATGCTAATTCACAATAAGGCAAGGTGGGGGGCACTAGGGAAGAATAATGTTACCTTAGATTAGATAGAGGGAAGAGATGGGAGGGGAAATGGGGATAAGAAAGATAGCTGAATGAAACAGACATTATTACTGTATGTATGTATGTGACTACATGACCAATATGATTCTGCAAAATGTACACTCAGAAAAATAAGAAATCATATCCCATCTACGTATGATATGTCAAAGTATGTAAATACATTCTACTGTCATGTACAGCTAATTAAAACAAATAAAAAATTTAAAAAAAAACTGTTACTGAAAGCTCAATTCTGTTCTCAATGTCAATCCAATAATGAGGACAAGGTTTAGAGAAAAAGAAAAAGTTTTATTGCTTTTCAAGCAAAGAACAAAGAGGAAACTCTTCCCAGAGGCAGTGAGGGGCTGTTAGGGGAAACAGAGGGCATTTAAAGAGGTGATTCAAAGGCTACATTCCAGTTGTGTCCTGTCAGGAACAATTCATTTGTAGCCTTTTTTTTTTTTTT